TGCTCCAGTGACTCAAATAATTTTGTGTACATTTTTGAAGCGTGAGTAATTGACATATTAATTTTTGAATAAGGGTTGACTCATTAAGAAACTATACAAAAGTAAAAAAAAAACTATGAATCATCGTTTTTTTAATGTATGGTAGACGTGTTGATTCCAACATGCCGGTTGTTTTGTTGGTTTGTCAACAACTTGTACAGTTTTTCTTTACAGTCGATCTGTGAATTACTATTGATTCTTCAATCCTTACAAATACAGACAAAAAAATATCTTGCACAAAACCTTGATAAGATCCTTTGAGGAAATTTTGAAATATTGTAACTATTACTAAATATTTTAGTGATTTATTAGCAAGAATTAACTAAATATTAAAACCAGAATAAAATATGGATCCAGTCGCTTCCGAACGTGACCTCGTGCTCAATCTCGATATAGAGTAGTCGAGACAGTTTAACCTTTACCTGCGGTTATAGCCTAAATTGAACCATTTCGTCGCTTCTCCAATCAGACAATCAAAAATATTAAACTATCAAAAAGAAATACAGCATTCTTAGTCTATTATATTGTCTTAATAATGATATTATCTTAATAACCGAGGCAAATAAACTAACATCAGAGTTTTTAGAGTTATTGGTTTACATGCTAGTAATGTATCAAATCGTCGCAGAGAATCGCACAGAGTGGAGAAACACCTTTCGATAGATAGTCAAGTACAGTGGTCGCGACGCTCAGGTATGAGGAAACGATCTGGAGAGAGAGAGAAAAAAATATATTAATAAAAACACTTTATTGACACAAGAGAGAGAGAGCATAATGTAAACCCTAACTGTATACATACATATATATATGTGCGGCACTGACGTCAATAAACCCATACAGTCGGCTCAGTTACGCTAGGCCTGCGCTACTGTCTAGTTTACTAGCCAAATATAATGAGGTAATGTTTTCGATTAGAGTTCACGAAAACGTCAACGATCTAATAAAGTATATATTCGCTTCTACTAAAACACCAATCGGTTTATAGATAAAGCATGTTTTAATATGCCAATAAATGTCCCTTTCGGTCTAAACATCAAACAGCGGTAATATCGTGCAAATAAATGTATTTGTGACGTTTAATATTCGCTCCGGGCCGGCGGAGGGTTAATTAAGCCGAAGGAGGGTTTCGGACAGCGCTTTCTGCTTACCTGTCTAACGATGCGATAAATTTCCGTCATTCGTTGAGTTGCCTTGCTTTCACTGAATTTTACTTAAAAACAGTAAAATCGAAGTATTACGTCTCATTACTATGATGGTCACAAAAGGATCAACAGCACTGAAAAGGTTGTTTTGAAAATAGGAATAATTAAAACATTTTATTCGTGTCAGGAAAAATAACTATTACTAAATATTTGCAAGCCTTACGTTTTAAATCTGCAAGACGATTGATCACAGAAACTTTATCAATTAGTAGCTTTCGCGCGCGACTCCGTCCGCGTGGAACTAAAAAAAACACAAGTGAGTAGCCTATGTGTTCTTCCAGAGTATCCTCTACGTCTATGCCAAATTTCACCGAGATCCGTTCAGTCGTTTAGGCTACAAACTCTAACAAACATTCATCCATCCATGCATCTAAACTGCATTTATAATATTAAGTAAGATTATTCCTGTAGAAACTTTCTATCGTCTTATTAAATTAAATCTCAAACAAAGAGGGGGCGTCTTACGACACCGCCTAATAATGATTTACCGTAGCTCCCTCCCTTGGGCCACGTAATTCTGCCTCGGATGTCGGATAAACCACACACGGTCGACGTGTCCGAAAGTGAAAACGAACAGTTTAATTATTCATTGTCTTGAACCAAGAAATGAGATTCTTTTATTGAGATTTATCACTGTTTTTTATTATAAGTTATTGCAATTTTTACATAGGTTTAAAAGGACTTCTGTTAACAACATAGGAATAACCCTTATCCCACTGATTGCAGGATCAGTTCAACAGGTTTCCGTTTATCAAACTCAATCATTAATTGCAGTCCTTCCTTCTTGATTTCACCTTTCAAGCAATCCATAATTATTTATGCAAACAACGTAGTTTGTGTGCTTTATTACTTCAGATTCTAAAAACGTACTACAGGACAAACTTAAAGGAGCGTTATGAAATTTGAAAACTACATAAACAAACTATTCACGGAACTGTCGGTGGAGAGCAAAGTTTCGCTAATCTAACGCGCATCCTCCGCCCGCCGCCCGCCGCCCGACGCAGCCAACAACGACATGTCCTCCACTTTATTAACGCTACTATATTAAATTCACACACTGTCCAGATATAAACTTACTTCATCTAAATTATTACTCAAAAGTTAAGTATAACCTTTATGCCACTAATACGACCAATATGTAGAAGCTAGCTTGAGACGTATATGTAGACCTGGGTCTGAAAACCGGCGGTAATAAGATCGCCTTCTAAGGTAAAGGAAGACTGAAGAAAGTATTCTTGGATTGTACAAAAGATGATATATGTAGAAAAGACTAAATTCCGATATGACAGTTAATACGAGTACTGATGAATGAAAGAATGTATCATTGTGTAACTTTAACATTCATATTCCCCAATAACACGTAGTATTCTTAAGCAACAGATACTAAAACAAATGTGGATACTAAAACTGAATAAACAGTATTTTGTGAGCATTTTGAATATTTAGTGGATCCCATGTGGATTATTATTCCATTCTAAAACAAACCAGATTATAGCGCCAAATGTAGTTATTTCATAGTGAGCAGAGTGTGAAATGTGAATTAATATAATAATAGTGTTTAGCACTCTATTTAACTTCCTATTTAAAAAAAAAGACGAGACGAAAGATTCCGAGTAACTTTTTATTTAACTTTCGGAATTAGGCATCTTATTCTATTCCGCCATAAAATTATAAATTGCAGAGAAGAGATAACACAAAAAAATGCGAATAAAATTATTTCTAGTTATATTTCTAAATGTAAATAACTATCCTTTTAAATACGAAAATATGTGTAAAATGATTTGGTAAAAACTGCTGCGAGTACTCCTAATGTTCTGCGCTGTGACCCTGTTTTGGATTAATTAAGGCAATGTCGGCCCGGTGCGAAATTTAAACGTTCACAAATAGTATTGTTTGCCCGGTGATGCCGCAGTTTTATTTGGACAGCCCGGCGGGACATAAACGAATGTAATATCCTACAGAAAGATTCTGGATGCGTCTAAAATTTCTGGCTGGTTGTTTTAATATTAGACGTATACGAATGAGTAACATTGTTCATTAATGGATAATTTACAACATTGATTTTAATGCCAGCTTTCTTTAAGTAACCTTTAGCGGTTGCTTTATTTATCCAGAATTTTGATAATTTCACTTAATAAGATACGTAGGGTACAGTTTTATTTTAAACCAAAAAATATTGAAGATCTGAAATATTTTTGTACATTTTTTATTATCTTAGATAATGTGCCAGAAACAAGCGACTGGATTTATCGAAATAACGATTTTTACCATACACATCTGTGATTGCAGATGCGTTGCCTACCTATCATCGACTTCCCGTTCACATCATTTCTTTATACGAAAAGTGTGAGAAGGAAATGGGACTTGAATAAGAACTCTGACACTCTCATTCCAACGGAACCTTGAATTGCTTTTCATTATTGCGTTATTGTAAGCTCTATAATAGTAAATTTTGTCTGTTCCTGTATTATGTTATCTTTTACGTACAATAAAATAACAATCAGGATAGTACAGCGTAGTCACAAATCGTCGTCCTAACGCCGTCGCTAACGAGCTTATATATTTATAAGAAGGCTCACCAAACTAAAGATAAATCTCAATAAAGAATCTCCTCTCCAGTCACGCACCAATGAATGATTAATGTATAGATACTTTTGTTTGTTTTCACTTCGCTTGACTAATACAGGTACACTCCATAAAACTTCTTTTGTAGTTGACGACTTTATCCTTTTGAGCATATTTTACTCAACAACGCATTAAAAGTTTGGTTGATTTTCTCTTTCTAATGTCGATATTGTCTTTTCAACGCATACATTTAGTGAGGTACATTCTTAAAATATTCTGGTCCTCCATCGTTGTATATCAGAAAGCATAAATATTTTGCAGGTTGCAGATACAAATATCTTTTAAAAACATCCCAAAACGTTATCAACATTCTCTTAAACACAATCACTATCTACTCTTTTGGGTTACATACGTGATTTTATTAGAGTACCAATAAACTGTTTTCTGTTTCTTCCG